CTGCATTCCTCTCTCACCTCTGTATCTTGGGGTTGGAGTATAAATACTTGCAACCTCTTCAGAGTCGTTAATCTCTAGACGCTCATCATATGTCTGGTTTTCAACAATCTTGGTCTAAGCAAAAGGAGACATGGTTACAGAGCTCATATGATCGGACACCACACTCCCTGGAGAGGTGCACTGATCCTCCTCCTTACCCAAGACACCCACTTCCGCCCCATTCACACCCTCCTCAGGCTCCTTGGCCCGAGGTCAGGCAGCTGTCAATCTGCTGCAGCCCTCGTAGGAGCTGCGGACAGGCTGGCTGAGCACGGAGCGGTCTGGAGAGAACAGCAGCCTCTGACCACTCCCCAAATGGTTACAGCCACTGCGGGGCCGAAGTTTTCCTCGGTGGATGGCGGCTCTCTCCCCGCCTCCCACCGCTCCCGAGGCTGTGGAGGCTCCCGGGGGGCTGCCCCGGCTCTGGGGCGAGATGTCTCTGGGGTTCCCTCGTCTACCGGACGACAGGGGCACTCAGTCTCTCAGTCCCACCCACTAATCTGAGAGCATCACCCCATCTCCACCCCATCTCGAACCCCCCCTAAGTTTTGGGGAGTAAGAGAAGCAGGATGATAGTGAGTAGCTGAGAGAAGGGAGTCAGGAGCAGTTGGAACGGAATTGAGGGTTACTGGAAGGAGGGAAGGGGCGTCCCCCTAATTCCTCCCGGGAGGGAGGGAGGGAGGCAGGCAGCCTCCGGCGGCCTGCTTACCTGGAGCCCCGCTGAATCCGTCTCCTCTGCCTGGAAGGAACCCCGGCCTGCGGCTGGGGTCTCTCCAACCCTGACCAGGCCGCTCCAGGGGCTCCACTCCGAGAGACCCGCCTGCGGTCGGTGGCCGGTCGCTAGGCAAAAACAAGCAACTCTTAAAACTCGCGGGACTTGCTTCCACTCTCGCGAGACCACCTCTCCAGCCGGGCGCGTCCCAGCTCGGCCCGCGGAGGACAGGGACCTGCTGGGAAACAGCCGCTCTAGGCGCCCGCGGCACCTGCGTCTATGGTTTCAAGAGAGGCGCCCGTGGCGACACCCTGCGGTCACGGGTGGGAAGGCGGGTGAGGGTAGGTTCCTAGAGTTGGCTTTTCCATCTGGAAATATTATACATTTCCTCATAAGTTGGTCCAATGAGAATTTAAGCCAAGTTTTTAAGGAATAGTCCCACGACTCTTGGTACGTTCTCTTTAGCATTTATATTTCATTACAGTCCTTCCCATGCATCGTTTCCCATTGCATAGGACATACTTATACTAACAAATTACTTATTTTTTATCTGAGATTCTAATTTAATGTGGTGTCTGTATTTTTATTCGTAGAGAAAACAGCTTCTTTAGGGCAGAGTCTGTGTCTAATTAATTTTAATACCTTTATAGAACAGTGCATTGCATAAATTAGGTGCTTTAAAGGTACTCATTGGGTGGGTGAAGGAATGAGTGAATGAAGATGTGAAGAACAAATATTTCAAAACCACAGCCATAGTTACTTTTGGGAGTCAGAGAGAGAGAAATAACAAAAAGAAGATTGGGAATTTGACCCTGAATACCTGCAGAGGAAAGTGTCAAAGTGGTTTTAAAAAGGAAAATGAGCACTTGCTAGATAGATAGCTCAGTTTGTTAGAGCCGTGGTTGGCAAACTGCGGCTCTCAAGCCACATGCGGCTCTTTGGCCCCTTGAGTGTGGCTCTTCCGCTGAGTCACACTGGTCAAGGGCACATGTGCAGGAGGCAGCAAATCAATGATTCTCCTGTCATTGATGTTTCTCTCTCTCCCTCTTTCCCTTCCTCTCTGAAATCTATCTATCTAGATATAGATATAGATATAGATATAGATATAGATATAGATATAGATATAGATATAGATATAGATATAGATATAGATATAGATATAATTTTTTTTAAATGAAGGGAGAGAGACATTGATGTGAGAGAGAAAAATTGTCTTCCATACTTGCCTGGACTGGGGACCAAACCTGCAACCCAGGCACGAACCCTGACCAGGAATTGAACCAGCAATGTCCTCGTGCACAGGGTGATGTTCAACCAGCTGAGCCACGCTGGCTGAGTGATTTTTACTTTTTAAAAAAATTAAGAACTTGTTCATCTTTTTTGGGGGGAAATGTGCTTTTTATAACAAAGGGAACAATGCAGTTTGACATATATCCTTTTAGACATGCAAAGTTTCAAAACATGGAAGCTTTGCTACTGGAAAGCCACCGCCAGCAGATTTGAAATGAGTAGGAGAATGCAATAGTGCAGTGGTGAAGGGCACAGGTTCTGAAGTTGAGCGGCCTTTATTCCAATTCTAGCTTTGATAGTTTCTTGCCCTGAGATGTGTGGTAGATTAGTTTTCCTCTTTGTACTTTGGTTTTCCCACCTGTAAAATAAAAATATTAATAGTTCCTACCTCCCTGAATTCTTGTGAGGATTAAATGAGATAATCTGGGTGAATGATTTAGGGTAACACTTGGAATACTGTAAGTGCTCAATAAATATTAAGGAATACACAGGAGATAAAGAGAGACAGGTGTGTCACAATGGGAAAAGCTGGGTTTGAATCCTGCTTCTATCTCTTACTGGCTTTGAGTCTGGACAAGTGCTTTACTTATTTGATCCTCAGTGTCCTCCCTGAATTGTTGTGAAGGATAAGAGATGATATGTGTCAAGTACCAGACACAAAATAAGCACTCATGCCATGGCCAGGTAGCTCAGTTGGTTAGTGTCGTCCCCATAGACCAATATTGTGGGTTTCATCCTCAGTCAAGGAACATACAGGAATCACCTGGAGCCCTGGCTGGTTTTCTCAGTGGTTAGAGCTTCAGCCTTTGGACCAAATGGTCATGGGTTTGATTCCCAGTCAAAGGCACAGACCTCAGGTAGGGAATGGGAGGCAACCAATCCATGTGTCTCTCTTACATCAACATTTCTCTCTTGCTCTTTTCCCCTCCTCCCTCTCTTCCACTCTCTCTCTAAAAATCAATGGAAAATATGTCCTCACTCACTCCTTGGGTGAGGATAAAAAATAAAAAATAAAAAAGGATCAACTGGTGAATGCATAATTAAGTGGAAGAACAAATTGATGTGTTTCTCTCTCTTTCTCTGCCTTCCTCTTTATCCATATACAAGTAATTGTAAAAAACACTCAATAAATTTGCTGTTTATCCATACTACAGCAATGGATGAGTGCTGTAGAGTTAGTCAGTGATATGGGATAAACTGATATAGGGGATAACTGCTGAATCCTATATGCTCTAAGCATGGGAGAACTACCAACATCACAGAAGAATGGATTTGACCCTGGATTCTGGCCTAGAACTTGGGTAAATGTATTAAACTTGTCATCATTTTCTTCACCTACAAAAAGTACAGTAACTGCCCTGGTTCCTGCACACGTAAAAAAAGGATCTAATTTACAAGCCATAAAAATGTACCTTTTAAAGTTGTCCAACTCCAGAACATTTCCATCACCCCAAAAACATTTCATCTCTCCAAAAAACAAACTCACTCCCATTCCGTCCTTTTCCCTCCTCCTCACAGTCCTACATGCTCTCTCTCTGAGTTTGCCTATTCTGGATGTTTCATATAAATTGAATCATATAGCATGTGATCTTTTGTGACTTGCTTCTTTCACTTAACATGTATATTTTTATTTTTTAAAGCATTTAAAAACTCTATTTTACACAAAGGAAAGGACAGAGGAAGAAAAGGGGGGCGGATATCAATGTGAGAAATAAACATAAATTGTGTGCTGGGTGATATTCCAATCAATGAAGCCCCGCCAGCCAGGGTAACAGTATTTTTCAGGTTCGTCTATGTTGTATAATGCATCAGTACTTTAGTCCTTTTTATGACTAATAGTTCATGTATAACATTTTGCCATCCATTCACTTATTATGGACATTTGAATTGTTTCTACTTTTTGGCTATTATGACTAACCCTATATAATAAAGAACTAATATGCTAATTAGACCAGTCGGCAGAATGACCTTCCAGAATGACCAGTGGCGGGAGGACCTATGCTTGCATAGATTCCCTGCATTGGGCCTCTAGTGCTTCCGTAAATAGTAGTGTACACTCTTGTGTGGACATGTTTTTTAATTTCTCGGGTACATATATCAAGGAGTGGAATTGCTGGGTCCTGTGGTAACTATTGAACTTTCTAGCCAGCAGTGCCTGAGGGTTCCGTTCTCTCCACATTCCCACCGGCACTCTGAGAGCTGTCCCGTGGCTGTGAAGTGTTGTTTCGTGGTGATTTTGATTTGCATTTCCCTAAGGATGCTGAGCTCCTTTTATGTGCTTGTTGGCCCTATGCAGATCCTGTGGAGAAATGTTAGAAGTGGATTATTTGGCCCTGGCCGGTTCGCTCATCCTCCTTGGACGGAAGGCTTCTTCCCCCTGGGCCCAGCCAGCAGGCAGGAGGCAACCAACAGCTAGACATCGGTATCTCTGTCTTCCCCTCTCTCTAAAAAAGTCAATGGGAAAATAGCCTCCGGTGAGGACTTTTAAAAAGTTTATTGTCTAAAGTATTACATGTGTCCCTTTTCCCCCCACTGACCCCGCCAGCCGCCCCGTCCTCCGCCCAGCTCGGGTGAGGGTATTTTAAAAGCCGGATTGTCTCTGTTGTTGAGTCGTGAGAGTTCTTGTATGTCCCGGATTCTGGTCCCTTGGGCACCGTTACTCCCAGTTCTCGGTGAGATAACGGTCTGGGGGCTTCTGAGGGGGGAGCGGGGCACCCACACCCGGCGCCACCGAGCCCGCCTCCCGGCCCCGCCCCGCCCCGCCCCGCGGTCCGCCCGCCCCCCGCCCTTTGACCCGCGCCGCTTCCGGTTGGAGACGTGGCTCAGGGCCGCCATCTTGGCAGTGGGGAAGCGGCCGCGGCTCCTGTCAGGGGCAGCAGGTCCCGTCCGCCGGTGCGCCCCGTGCCCGAGCCGCCAGCCCAGCCGTGCGGAGCCGCCCGAGCGCAGCCGCGTCCTCAGGATGGTAGGTCCGAGCCCGCGGCCGCCCGCCCTCCGGCTGAGCCGGCCGCCGCCGCCCGCGAGCAGCCTGGGCCGACCTCCGGCCGCACCGCCTCGGGCCGGAGCCGCCCCTCCCCACCGGCCCCGCCGCGGCCGCCGGGTCTGCGGGAGCCGCGAGGGGCGCCCCGGCCCCGCGCGCGGTCGTCGCGCCCCTCCCGCCGGCCGGGGCGCCGGGCTCGGAGGGAGACTGTCCGCTTCCCGGCCTCCGGCCCCGGCGCCCCCCCTCGGTGCCCGGAGGCCTGCGGCCTCGCGCTCGGTGTCCGCGGCCAGGACGGCTTTTGTGTGTCCAAGCCGGGCAGGGCGGAGGCGGCGTAGGGCGCAGCCGGCCCTGCGCAGCCCACTCCGGCCCCGCCGGCCCCGGAACCGCCGGCGGCGGCCCAGCCTGCGGGGCCCGCGGGGCGGGGCGGCGGGCACGGAGCGGGCGCCGGGCGCCGCGCTGGGGAGGCCGGGCTGTGAGGAGCACGGGCTCCGGGCTCGGGCTGAGGGACGCGGATGGGTGTGGGGTGTGGGGGGCGGGGGCCCGGCCCGGCCTCAGGCCGCCGCCGCCGGTGCCGATGGAGCTGACGGGGGCGGGACGCCGCCCGCTGACGCCGCCGCGTCCTGGCCACTGCGCAGCGGGTGTTGATGAAGCAGGAGAAACGCTTTGGGTCCAAACGAGCTAGTACTTGATTTTTTAGTGCACTTTCATGTCCTCGGTCTTTTGAAGGAAGTTTTTTTTAATTCTATTTTCGTTAGTAGATTAATTGATTAAAGGGTCTTTCTACACACTGAAGAGAGCACAGTATCATCTGGTGCAATCACATTAAGTTCTATCGACAACCTTTTACATGGGACATGGATGGGGAATTCATGCTTGGCCTATTAAACACTGAAACGTTTTTCAGCTTTAGGCATATGCATAGATTGCATCAAGCAGGTTTGCTTCATAAAACTTTCATGTTGTACATAAAAACCTCCAAAATCTCCTCTTCATTTTAACTAGGATAGTAATTTTTAACTTCTTTTTCTTTAACGTCCCGGTTGTATTTGTAGGGCATTTTAGAGCATATTCTAATTTTAATAGCAAAATTTAAGCATTATATATGTATTTATGTAAAGGTGATCTTTACAAAGAGGTGTTGGAATGTTTTTGGCACTTAGTACAGTAACTTTTCACTTACTGTCACCAATAGACTAGGGCCCAGTGCACAAATTCGTGCACCTTGAAAGGAACTGTTGGCTGCGAGGCTGCAGTGTGTATAGGGCTGGATCTCTGCCCATCCTCCGTGGCCCCAGTCCCCTGCTGTCCTCTGTGGCCCAGTCCCCTGTCTGCTGCATCTTGGCCCGTCCTGCTCACATCTTGGAGGGTGTGAGCAATTGGGGCCTGCACTAGCAGCTAGTGGGAGCAGCGGCTGCAGCCCTGATCACCCCTGAGGAGCAGGGGCAGGTGGAGAAGCCCTCAGGGGTAATCAGGGTCAACAGCTGCTGCTCACTCTGCTGATAGCACCAAGCAGTGCAAGTGGCGGCTCTGGATGTGGGTGTGAGCAAAAAGTGGCTCTGGTGCCGGCAGCAGGTAGGAGTGTGTGAGCACTGGCTACCAGTCACGATCGCCCTTTGGGAGCAGGGAGAGGTGGAGAAGCCCTGGAGGGTGATCCGGGCAGCACAGGCCCCAGCAGCAGGTATGAGCGCCTGGCGGGACTGTGGCGTGCAGGACCAAAGCATTTTCAGTAATCCCAAAGACGCTCCCCAGTGACAGCAACCAGCACCCCAGGCCCTTGCTCACCTGCTCCACCATGGCCAACACCTGCCATGTTCCACACTCTGCCACCTGCTACCGATGCCTGCTATGTTCCATACGTGCCCCCTGGTGGTCAGCACGTGTCATAGTGACTGGTTGGTTGGTTGTTCCACTATTCAGTCTATTTGCATATTATCCTTCTATTATATAGGATTCTGGGACTTGAAGTGAAATGACATAAGAGACCAGTTTTCCTGTAGGCTCATTAATATAAACAGGAGTTGGTTTTTTGTTTTTTCTTAAATATATTTTATTGATTTTTTACAGAGAGGAAGAGAGAGGGATAGGGAGCTAGAAACAGCGATGAGAGAGAAACATCCATCAGCCTCCTGCATATCCCCCACCAGGGATTTGCCTGCAACCAAGGTACATGCCCTTGACCAGAATCAAACCTGGGACCCTGTAGTCCATAGACCGACGCTCTATCCACTGAGCCAAACCAGTTTCGGCAGGAGTTAGGTTTTCATGTCATCTCATCAACATTTTAATGACATAATCTAGAATGATACAGTGTTATTTGGAGACTTGCTATATTTTTAGTTCACTGATAATCAAGGGATGGTAAAGTTCTAGGTGTTGGTGATAAAATGTAAAATAAACTGCATGTTATTTGGACATGTGCAAAATTATACAGTTGTGTCATGTTTAAATATGCATATGTCTCTGAATTATTTGGGAGTTGGTATGATCTAGATACTCTAAGATTTATATATTCTGAAGAAGAGCATCTCAGTACGTTCTGCTCTGTTGAGTCATAAGATACTATTCTGGATACTATAGGATCCAGAAACATTTCTGCGTAATGTTTCTGGATCCTATTCCTTTATGAAGATATCCCTGGATAGTAAAAATGTCCAAATAAGTGACATTTTAAAATATTTTTTGGATCTAAAACTTGTTTGTGAAAGTTGGTTTCCTCCCATGCATTTTATTTAAAAATTGTATCTAGAAAAGTTAAATTTTATAGTGAACACCCCTATAACCACCAGCTAGATTCTGAAATTAACATTTCATTGTACTTGTTATATTACACATCTAATTATCCATTCCTTTATACATCATTTTATTTTATTTTATGTTTCTCTTTTTATATACATCTTTTTAAAAAATGCAATTCAGAGTAAGTTGTAGACATCAGTTCATTATTTTTTAAAAATTCTTTATTGTTGAAAGTTTTGCATATGTCCCCTCTTTTTCCCCATTAAACCTCTTTCCCTCTCCTTCCCCCCAGGCCTTCATCACCCTATTTTGTCTGTGCCCAGGGGCCATGCAGAGATGCACACAGGGTCTTTGGTCGATCACCTCCCACCCACTCACCCTCTTTCACCTTCTCTCCGAGACTCTGCCCCATGGCTCTGGGTCCACTCCGTCCATCAGTTTATTTTGCTCATTAGATTCTTCATATCAGTGAGATCATGTGATACGTGTCGTTCTCTGACTGACTTTGAGGAAACACCATACTGTTTTTCATAATGACTGCACCATTCCCACCATTTTCTCCACATCCTCGCCACCCCTTGTCATTTTTTTTTTTTTTTTTTTTGTCATTTGTTGATTTGTTGATGGTAGCCATTTTGACATGTGTTGTTTTGATTTGTATCTCATTGATGATCAGTGAGTATTTTTTTCATGTCTCTTGGCCATCTGTATGTCCACTTGGAGAAGTGTCTATTTTTTCACTGGATTGTTTATCATCCTTCTGTGAAGTTGTATTAGGACCTTATATATTTTGGGTATTAACCCTTTATCAGAACATATTGCCAAATATATTCTCCCATACAGCAGGCTCTCTTTTCGTTTTGGTAATGGATTTCTTTTGCTGGGCAAAAGCCTTTTATTTTGATGTCTCATTTGTTTATATTCTCCTTAGTTTACTTTGCCCTAGGACAGTGGTCGGCAAACTCACTAGTCAACAGAACCAAATATCAACAGTACAACGATTGAAATTTCTTTTCAGAGCCAAATTTTTAAAATTTAAATTTCTAACGCCACTTTTTCAAAATAGACTCGCCCAGGCTGTGGTATTTTGTGGAAGAGCCACACTTAGAGGCCAAAGAGCTGCATGTGGGTTACAAGCTGTGGTTTGCCGACCACGGTCCTAGGAGATGTATTCATAAACATATTGCTACGAGATATCTGGGATTTTGCTGTCTATAGTTCCAGAATTTTTATGGTTTTCCGATTTACATTTAAGTCTTATGGATACAGGTTGATCTATGAAAAAAAAAATCATTTTGCCAAGCTGAGTAGCTCAGTGGTTGAGCATTGACCTATGAACCAGGAGGTCACGGTTCAATTCCTAGTTGAGGCACATGCCTGAGTTGTTGCTATCATAGATCCCCAATGTGAGATGTGCTGGAGGCAGCCGATCCATGTTTCTCTTTTATCATTGATGTTTCTCTCTCTATATATCTCTCTCCCTTTCTCTCTCTCCGCCCCCCCCCCTTCTCTCTGAAATAAGTAATAAAAATAGATTTTAAAAAATAGATTTCCTTTGGCTTTCGTTACTGAAATTATTACAAAACATCCTATGCTGTGAAGTCCTAGTAGAGAAATAAATGAACAAATGCAAAAATACACGACTTATTATGACCTTGTTATAAAAAAGAAATATAAGTATAAAAAGGGCATCTTTTTTTTCTAGTTTTCTGCAAATTAATCAGAACATACTCTTATTTTCTTAACATTGGTAAAGTATCATGATAGTCATTTTTTCTTAATGAATTTGATATTGTCTTTTTTAAAAAAATATATTTTATTAGTTTTGTACAGAGAGGAAGGGAGAGAGATAGAGAGCTAGAAACATCGATAAGGGAGAGTCATCGATCAGCTGCCTCTTGCACACCCCCTACTGGGGATCTGCCCGCAACCAAGGCACATGCCCTTGACCGGAATTGAACCCGGGACCCTTCAGTCCCCAAGCCGACGCTCTATCCATTGAGCCAAACCAGTCCTGGCTGATATTAAGTCTTATTGTAACTCCAATCTGTAAAATATTTGCTTTTCTACATACTACTGTATTTTTCCTTATTTAAGTACTAGAGGCCCAGTGCACGGCATTCGTGCCCTAGGGAGGGGGGGTCCCTCAGCCCAGCCTGTGCCCTCTCGCAGTGCGGGAACCCTTGGGGGATGTCCGCCTGTGCAGAGGGGGGATGCAGTGTGAGCCTGCTGGTGAGATGGGCTTCTGG